AGAAGACGTAAAGAAGAGGACTCAGTGAGAGGGTGTCAGAAAGATCATTAATGTAGATAAAAAACAAAACAGGGCCAAGGATAGAATCTTGAGGTACCTCTGAAGTTGTTTGAAATGAAGAAGAGTGTTGCCCTTCAAGGATAACTTTAATAAAGCAGTTAGAATGAAATGCTTTGATAATTTCAAAAAGTTCCCCAAGAATCAAGCTTATGGAGAAGACTAGCATGCCAACCTTTGTCAAAAGCTGTAGATATGTCAAGAGCAACAGCCCTAGCTTCACTGTCTCCATTTAATGCAAGATGTCTAACAATGGATTAACCTGTTTAATTGGAATGAAAGGAAGAGTATAGTGATAAGATTCAAGAGTTTAATAAGGAAAAAAAATTTCACAAACAGCATTCTGCATTATCCTTGGGAGATAGATCTGACCTATGAATGAGAGATGGAATGTTTCTACCTTAGCTATTGACGCTGTTAAAAATTTCTATAAGTCTCTAGAACCTAACTTCTTAGGTAAGATACGGAATTTATTAATTTGAGAATAATGGAACTTAGCATTAGACAGCACCTTTTTACATCAATATCTTGCAATAATAAGTATGCATTTCATCTTAAGGGAGTTCTTTTTAAAAAGAAGAAAAAATGATTACGATTATATAGCTGCTACACCAGAAGGTGAAAACCATGGAGTAGATGGAGGCTTGAAACCATCAAAAAAGGCCTTAGTCAAAAAGACTTAAAGGAATTTTAAACAAAAATAATTTCAGATTGGAAACATTAAATTAAAACACATAAGTTAAAAAGTGTATATAGTTATCAAAGTTTTGTCTTTTTTTGTTCCAAAACCCTTTTAAGGTCCTTTAAGACTATTTTGGCTAAAGGGAAAGCTTTCATCACTGACTAAATCCAGGAGGTTACATACGAGGCACATTTATTAGCTGAGAAAAAAAAGACACCAGCCTAAGCACTGTCATAAAGAAAATTACAAAAAGAATCCCAATCAGTTTCAAGGTAGTAGAAGTAGTGTGAGTCCGAAGAAGAGGTAGGAGATGATTATAGATATCATTGTTTGGTTGGAACTACCTTGAGGATAACAAGGAGAAACTAAACATAAGTTAGGGTTAAAGCAAGACACAAATCAACAAATAGTTAAATTGATAGCAGGGTCAGTGTTGTTAGAGCCAAGCCATTCAGTGTGATGAGCATTAATCAATAATAAAAATTATATTGGCAGAGGGTTAACGAGAAAGGACATTGTCAATTTGATCATTTACATTTAAAAGAGTGCAGACTTGAGAAGGAGAACAATAAAGAACTAATAGAAAAGATTTCTCAACAAATAGTTGAATTGAAAAGTGTTCCCCAAGCCAAGTATGTGACTATTTTGGAAATAAAGAATAGTACCCATCAATACTAAGATCTGAAGAAGTAACAGCCAAATTTAAATTAGTTTCACAAAAAGCGAACAAGTGTGGTAAATTTTGCAAGAGGTATGATTCAATTGATTGAAGGTTTCTTTGAAGACCACGAATATTTGTGAAAGATATATTGAAACAGTTTGGTGGAGGGGATGGGTTTTTTATGTTTAACATTTTGAGTTACTTTTAGCATGGTTTTAGTTTAAAGAGAACTTGACTCATTCAAAGATAAAGCATGGCATCCTAAATGATGAGCCATTCAGTTGTCTCAGTGCCATTAATTAACCCAAAGTTGTAACGTTTGGCTCCTTATGTGGTCTTGACAATGCATACTAAAAGCATTATTAAGGACATCATCCATGTGCAAATTGGTACTGTTAATAATCTGATATTTTAAAGCTATCGATGTAATCAGCCTCTATGAGAGCTACCAGAGTTTAGGAAACTTAACTACCAGGCTTGGATAAGAATGGACAGCACGCTGTAACTGACCTTGCTTATAATATTTTTTCTTTGCAATTTGATCATAGTGGTCATAGTGGTTTTGATGTTTTAACAATTTCTTACTCTGGATTCTATTCTCTATCTCTATAAATCTCAAATCCGGCCTTGTATGGAATACTGTTGCCATATCTAAGGCGGATCTTCTAATGATGCCCTTTCTCTTTTAGACAAGGTGCAAAAACGCATTGTAACCATAGTTGGACCTGCTCTTGCAGCCAACCTTCAACCTCTGTCACATCGTTGTAATGTTGCTTCTCTTTCTCTTTTCTACAAATACTATAATGGGCACTCCTCTAAAGAGCTAGCGTCTCTTGTGCCATCTACAAAAATTCATTCTCGTGTTACTCGTCATTCAATTAAGTCTCATCCTTTTTCTGTTACTGTTCCTAAGTGCTCCAAAAACTGTTATTCGTCTAGTTTTTTTCCTCGAACATCAGTTCTTTGAAATTTGCTTCCTTCATCTTGTTTTCCTGATTCATATAATTTGCAATCTTTTAAGTCATCTGTCAATCGTTATCTTGCTCTACAATCTTTATCTTTTCTCTTCCAGTAACTTCCAACACTAATTAGTAGTTGCTTGCAGCCTTGTTGGAAGCGAAGATAGTTAAAAAAAAAAATTTAAATGCTGCAAAAAAATTGATAGGTTATAAATAACTTTTATTTGCTGATCTTTACTAAAGTTTTTATTTTTCGCGAAGGCTTTAAATAAAGTAAAAAAGTATTTATAGTAATTGTTTAAAATAAACGTATTTATTTTAAATTAACAAATAATGTTATATTTAAATTTTTTTATGTAGAAATGTTTTTTTATGATAAATTTAAATATAATAATTTGCTTGAAACTATTTTTCTTTGTCTTTCTAAAAATCTTTTGAAAGATAATTTTTTAAAATACTTTAAATTGTGAATAAGTTAAATTAAATCTTTCGTTGCAATGGAATGATTCTATTGCATTATTTTTTTTTCTGTTTCTATTTTTACAGAGAATTTTTTAAACCTTATATTTTTTTTTTTTTAAATTTTTTGTGCAAATTTTGGAAAAAATAATGTTTATACAATTATAAAATAATATATATAAATTTTTTAATAATTAAAATAAAATTTGTTCATTCATTTAATAATCATTAAAAAAATATTAGTTTATAATCAGTAACAACATTTCTTTAAACAATCATTATTTTTAAGTAATAAGTTAAAGTGTAACTTCTGAGCCTGCTTGCTACCAGCCAGCCTCAGAACCTATAAATTGAGTTTTAGAGCTGTACCCTCATTAGGAGATAACAGGAAGAGTTCTATAGCCATTATGAAAGAGGCACAAGAAAAATTCTACAAGTGAAGTAAAGAATACCTGGCATTCGTCTTCCAAGGCAGGAAACATTGTAACACAGTTTAATATCTACGGCAGCCTATTAGATGAAGATTAAGTTTAAGGTTGATCAACAGAATTGTTTTGCTTAACCCTAAAGTCTCAGGCTTTCTACAAGACAGTAGCTGAATGCAATTAACATTTGATGAGTATTTTTTTCAAGACACTATCTCCAGTCTTTACTTTACCAAGTGTCCCAAGACAAAGGAATTTTCACTGAATGGAGTTAACTTCTGCCTAAGATGAGTTTATAAAATTAGATCTTTTTGTCAGAATCTATAAAAATGCAACATTAGCGCTTTTATAGATTCTGACAATAAGATCTAATTTTTTTTACTAAATATATAGCATTAGGGATTTTCTTTAGATTTATATTTTCAATTTATAACATGATTGATCTTTTTAATTCAATTTTATTTCTTGATGTAAAAAAGATTTAAACTTGTGAAAGGACTATAAGATTGTAATGACCTGAAGGTGCACATTTATGGAATTGTATTTTAAGTGCCTCTCTCATATTTCTGTTAAAATTATTGACCTCTACTTTTAGAATATTTTTATTGTTCCATGCAAAATTGCCATGACAATATTTTGAAAGTTTCACTATTGCTGAATAATCCCATTTTCCTTCATATGTATTTTTTTGATGCTGGTAAATACGACATGAGATTTTGTTGCTCAGATATAACATTTTTTTGCAGGAGCATTCAAGTTTGTACACACCTCGATGTACATTCAAGTTTGTACACACCTCGATGTACATTCAAGTTTGTACACACCTCGATGTACATTCAAGTTTGTACACACCTCGATGTACATTCAAGTTTGTACACACCTCGATGTACATTCAAGTTTGTACACACCTCGATGTACATTCAAGTTTGTACACACCTCGATAAAAAATTATAGAAAAAAGAGGTGTTTTTCTTTTTGCGGTAAGTATATGTTGTAAAGTTTTTGGTGATTTAAAGACTGGTGTGTAACCTGCTTTTTTGAAAACTTTACTTAACTTTGGGCTAATTCCTGGAATTCATGGTAAATATACAATATATTTTGATGAAATAGATAAATGTTGAGTTATAGTATTTCGTTTTTTATTATGCAAGTTTTCTTTAGTGGTTTTTATAACATTTTCCAGGCTTATTCTTTTCTAACCATTTCCTACAAAAACATCAGTTAACAATAATAGCTCTTGTTCCATATTATTATCAGAGCATGAACATACTTTTTATAAAAATGAGCTATAAAAAAAAACATTTTTTAAAGCGTGCACGCTTTAAAAAATGTTTTATCTTTATAGGCTGAAATTTAAACTCTAAAACTCAGTTGAAATTTAAATTTAGTGCCAAGTAAAACATTTACTTTCTCTAGAGCAACAAGATTTTTCTCAAAATGTTAAGTTATCAAAGTACATTAAGTATTGTTTACAAAATCTTTTTTAAGTTATCAAAGTACATTAAGTATTGTTTACAAAACCTTTTTTAAATATATTAAATTGTTTTACTATTACATAAAACTTTATTAAAGTAAATATTTTTTAAAATAAGTATAATTTTATATATAAAAGACTTTTTTAAATTTGACCTAATACGCTAATAATAACATGCTGCATTTGAAAAAAATTGAAAGGTTTAGTAAAAAGTTGAAATTTTTAAATTTATTTATATTGAGACTTTGAGTTTCATAATAATAACTAATATATTTGTTTTTAGGTACTCAACCTTTTTCGGAAAATTTATTTTTACGCAAGAAACTACTTCATGAAATTCAACAATATTTTTTGCAAGATGCAAGCAAGATAACTTTAGTATTATATGGAATGTCGGGTGTCGGAAAGACACATATTGCCAGAAAATATTGTCAAATATTTTCTGGCAGTATGTGTCTTTCTGACACCCGACATAAAACTTTGTTTGGATTGACGCGGCATTTGGAATATTACAAACTTCAATGAGAAACCACTGTCAAGTATTAGGATTTAAAGTTCATGATACGAAAGGTGATTTTAATGTAAGAGTGATTGCTGAAAAAATTCACAACTAGTATAAAAATGAAAAAACTTTGTATACATTGTCAACGATGAAAGTGTTAAAAATTTATCAATGTACTTTTCAAGAAAACCGAATTCATTCACGTTGATTACCGCCCAATAAAGAACGTGGTCGAATAATGTAAATCAAATGCTAGTTGTTTTTTCTTCTAAAGAAGCATTCGCCTGTGTAAAAAGTGATATTGAAGAAAACACAGATGAAAACATAAGAAACTTAATTAAAGAACTTGGATATTATCCGTTTGCGATAAAAAATATAAATATGCATAAAACTTCAAAAGATAAATACTTAAATCGATATAGATCTAATTCGTCAGAAATAATTGACAATAATAACTTTCCAACCAAAAAAGAATCTGCAATAAAAGCTATTAACTTAATTTTAATAAAATTAGAAAAAACTAAACTTTTTTCATTAAACTGTTTATCTCATTGCGATGATCAAAACATCAGTAAACAGTTTAAAACACAAATCTCAAATCGCATGAAAATAAACGATGAATCTTTAATAGATGAAGCCATTGGATTATTAATGAGTTATTCTTTACTAAACTGTTTTGAAGATAAATATTATTCAACACACGACGCAATTGACATGCAGCTGTTTTCAAAAGAGAAATTCATGTACAAACACGTATTTTGATCTTATTGAAAGTTATTTTAAAGTTGAAACGAACGAAGTAAAAGATCGGAAATCATTTTGTTTTTCATTTTGTCTATATGTTGCGTACTAACGAAAATTTTTTTTCGTTAGTACGAAACATATAGACAAAATGAAATTAAAAACTTTCATCATATGGCGACTTCTATTGAAAAAATATAAGTATGTAAAAGTTTATTTGAAGAAGCAATCAAAATATTAAAAGCTATTCAAAAATTTAATACGGAAACTTATGGTAAAAATAATAAAATTAACGCTTTATACGAAACATATCGCATGTTTTTTAAACGAAATGGGAATACACTACGATGTGCATATCCTTCAAAAGTCAATGTAAGTCAATGTACTACGCTAGTTTAATTTTAAATTTAAAAACCAATAATAAATCTAATTTTTTTAAATTTCCTTTAAATTCGATGATCTCTACTTTTTTTTTTAATTAAACGTGCGAATAGACTATAATTAAATATAGTCTATTCGCACGTGAAAAACGATTTGGGAAAATTTAACGATCCTTTAGAAGTTTATTCTGCTGATAAAATACAAACTGAAATTTTAGGTATCAACCACCCGGGTGCAATGACAGCAAAAAATGATATCGCATACTGTTTAAACAATTTGGGAAAATATAATGAAGCTTTAAAAATTTATTATTCTGTTGATAAAATACAAACTGAAATTTTAGATATTAACCATCCGGATAAAATGACAACAAAACATGTTTGAACAAGTTGGAAAAATATAACGAACTTTAGAAATTTATTATTCTGTGCATAAAATACAAACAAAAATAATATCGCATTCTGTTTGAATAATTTGAAAAACGGTAAGTTGTAGGTATTATAAATTACAAATTGAAAGATAAAATTAATTTACTGCTTAAACTTATTTATAAAAAGTAAAAAGTATTGTGAAAGCTTCAGTTAGTTATTGCGATATTGTGTGTGTAAATATATATATATATATATATATATATATATATATATATATATATATATATATATATATATATATATATATATATATATATATATATATATATAATATATATATATATATATATATATATATATATATATACATATATATATAAACATATATATATATATACATACATATATATATATATATATATACATATATATATATATATATATATATACATATATATATATACATATATATATATATACATACATATATATATATATATATATATATATACATATATATATATACATATATATATATACATACATATATATATATATATATATATATATATATATATATATATATATATATATATATATATATATATATATATATATATATATATATATACATATATATATATATATATATATAAACATATATATATATATATACATATATATACATACATATATATATATATATATATATATATATATATATATATATATATATATATATATATATATATATATATATATATATATATATATATATATATATATATATATATAAATATATATATATATTTATATATAAAACATCTCTAGTCAAAAGGTCTTATAGAATTCTATAAGAGTTTGGAACAAAATAAATTTAGGTGTTTTAATTTAATGGATTTCAAAATCACATTTGGAATCCATTAAATTAAAACACCTAAAAAAACTGTAAAAATTGTAAAACATCTAAAAAAATCTTTTTTTTTTGTTTCAATATCCTATAGGACCTATATCTTTAGTTTGCTAAGGATGCAGTGACACAAATGTCTAATTTTAGGCCGATTTTTGTCTTACCATGCTTCTCAAAGTAATTAAAACGCATTATGCATGAAAGACTTCATAATTATTTATCTGACAACGGTATACTAATAATAAAGAATTATATAATATTATATATATATAATATATTTAATTATATATATAATATATAAGAATTATATAATATAATATATATATATAATATATATAGTATAATAAAGAATTTGGGTTTTAAATCACTCAACAGATCATGTAATAATGGAACTAACAATTCAATGGGATCAACAACGATTGCTCTACATTAGAACAGGGACTACTAAAACAACGGGACGCGAAACTCTTATTTTATGTAGTTTTGACGACAGGGCCGATTAAAAAAATGCGAAACACTTCTATTATTAAACAATAATATAATTATCAATAGAAATATAATTCAAAAATGTTATGGCTAAATTATTTATCACTAATTTCAAACAAAAATTAATTTGCGTTGATGAAGTGTTTAGAAAAAATCAACTTTTTTACAAAGAAGCTGTAAATAATCATTTTTAAAGACAGTTAATTATCATACTATGTTATATTCATATCATAATAATAAATACATAATTATAAATAAATTTTAAATCAAATAAATGTAAAATCATTTCAAAACTTTATCGATTAGATCACCAGTAAAAGCTAAAAGATCAGACCACTAAGTATTGAGTTGCTTTCTCTTTCTGTCCTCAATGTTTTATGAAACAATGATGTATCATCAAGGGTCGTAACACTTTTTAAGAAACAGTTATTATTGAGAACTTTTGTAATATCTACACTATCTGTTTCTAAATCAAATAGTAATGTTGAATGCAAGAATGAAAATAATTTCTTTAAATAAACAACACATTGAAAACGTTTTTTAGACATTTGAACACTGCTAAAAAAAATTTAAATCTAAGGTCATCGAGTGTCTGGAAAGGAGACCTATTGCTCGGTGTAGTTAAGGTGATTTACAAAATATTCGAAAACTTTTATTTGAAATTAAAATGGTTTTGTCAGCATATTATGTCCAAACAAGATCTTTAAATGTTGTTGTTTCTTTTTTGCTTCAGGTTTTTATAATATTTAAAGAAACTTTTTTTTTTTTTATTTAATTTTCAAAACCTTTTTACGTAATAGTGAATCTAAAGAAGACTATGGAGTCTTTAGATTAATTCCACTCAGCGGCATTAAAATGAATTTAGTTAAAATCTTTTGAAAAAGTTTCTTAATTTACTACTGATCCTAGTTCAAATTGGTTCTGATGTATATTAACTATATATAGTTGTCAAAACACAATATTTTTATCAATTTTCACAAAAAATACTAGAATTCCGACCAAAAAAGAGCTTATAATTATGAAAAATTGCCAATAAACGATCAGAACAGATCATTTTCATAAACTATAATGTTCATTTCACCTAAAAAACGTATTAATATAAAATCTTATTCAAATTTGGACGAGCAATTGTGATTTTAAGATGATTTAAAAAAAAAAAAAAAGAATCTTCGGTCTGGGTTTTTTCGCTTTAAACATTTATAACATAAAAGTTAATCTTTTGTCTTTTTATAATTCACAGACCAGACCATTTAACGGAAATATGTCGTAGTCAACAAAATATCATACAGATGCTTATATATTTTAAAAGTGCCTTAACTACACCGAGTGGTATCATTAAGTAAAACATCACAACCTTTCCTCTTTACATTTAGCATGTTCCATAATAAAACAATTGGTGCTAAAAAACAGGCAATGCTCTCAAAATTAGCTAATCTCAATATTGTAATGGTTTTTTCATTAAATACAGCAACCATGTTTGCAACATTTTGTGTATCAATCAAACTAGGGTGCACTGACTTGCGTAAAGGCTTTGGAGTCCCAAATCTGCGAACCATGAAAGCCAAGGAACGCTGCTCAGCTATTGGTATCCAATCACTTGAAAATCAAAGGCGCCGAAGTGATTTTATATAATACTTTAGGATTTACCACGGCGTAAGCAAACTTAAATGGGTTGAATCACCATCTCCTGCTCCTACACTTGCGCAACCTGGACCAGCCGGTGGTCTTCGGGGTTTTCCCTATCGCATTTGGGAACCAAGAATTATTAAATGTGTAGCTCGCAAAACTTTTTTATGTAACCCTGTTGCAGTTGATTGGAATGCGCTAACACCAGATATCATTACCTTCGATAGAAATGTACCAGATGTTGTCAACATTAACGCTTTCAAAAAAAAGTTTGTCAGATTTTTTGGCTCACTTCCAAAAAAAACTGTATGACTGGTACTTCTGTTTCTCGTTTGGGAATGTTATTAACTCAATGTACCGATAATTTTACTTCTTTTTTATTTTTGTTTTAGTAATCCTCTATACTGGATCTACCATAGCAGGGATTGGTTGCTTTCCCAGCTTCACGGATTTTTCCGTTGTAGATTAAATTTAAATAAATAAAAAATTTATGTCTGTTATATAATTGAATAATGTGAGACCAATTACCAGAGAGAGGTTGATTATTAATTTTTAAACTAATTGTTTGTGTTTTTTGCGTAAACCAATTATTTCTTATACTTTTAAACAAGTGAACTTTTAAACAAGTGAACTTTTAAACAAGTTATACTTTTAAACAAGTGAACTGGGTCGTGTAGCATAATAACTGGTTTTTCTTTTTCTATAACACCTTGCAAAAACTCTTATTAACAACAAAACTTTGGTAAACACTTAGATTTGAGCAGCCGTGGCGCAGTGGTAGCGCACTTGCCTCAGAAACAAAGGATCCGTGGTTCATACCCACCTCTGGGCAAGTTTTGCGGCATCGGTTGGGAAGGAAGCGTGAACTTCCAATTAAATGCTTATCCGCGGTGCTCTGTGATAAGACCGTAAGACTTCTTGGGGCACTTAAATAAATAAATAAATAAATTTGTGGGATGGGTATCTGATAAGAGACACAATAATTCTCCTCCTGCATCAATTATTTGTTTATTTATGTTTATGATCAAGTTGTGAAGAAAGTATACTGACAGTTTAAATATTGGTACAATTCTACAAACAAAAGAAAGTTTACCAAACATAGGTTTAATCATAAAGACTAATAAAGTTTTTTCAATTTTAGTGGGATTGTCCTCACTATATCCAATGAAGTGTCCTCCAGATTATAGCAGTTAACTTTTGTATGCCTACAATAAATATTAACTTGACGTGAATGATAATTAATTTCAACAGAAAATATTGTTTTGGGCAGACATGATTGAGAAATAACAAACAATGCGACTTTTGAATTTTCAATGATTCAAAGTATTGACGATATATAAAATATCAAATATCATAAAACAAAGACAAAACCATTAATTTTACCTTTCTTTTATTTCAGACAGCATTATTTCAACATCATAAAATCTAATTAAATCAATATGATTGAAACCATTCATTTCATCAGGTAACATCATTTCGTGATGTTAAAGAAATTTTATTTATTTTTGTAGATCTTGGTTGTATTGAGGTTATTTGGCGCACCATTGAAGATGTGCATCCAGGAAAAATAGATGGGACATGAATAAGAACCTTAAAAAAAATATATTAATAAAATTAGTCATTGTAAAATTTATCAGTAAAAATAACTTTAAGGATGCTTGTCTCAAACTTTGATTGAGGAGGCTTGTGCATCTTGCAGCATGGTGGCCAGTGTTTCTCACCTATATTTGAAGTTACTCTTTTAAAAGCATTTGGAATAGGTGACAACCAATATTGTAATTTTTATGTGTCACTTGGAAACATGTAAACATGAAGCTTTTCTTCTGAAGTTGATGTTTAATAATTTTTGGTACAATTAGCAGTTGAACATTTTCTTGGCATAATTAAAACTAATAATAGTAACACCATTATTATTTATTATAAGTATGACATAACATTTTGTAACATTTAATAGATTCTACTTAACGCAATTTTTTAATAATACCACTTTAAAAAAATCAAAAAACTTCTGATTTTTCAATAAAACTAAAAACATTTTACAAAAAAAAAGGTTTTTTTTTTTGAAAAAGCTTGTAAATATCTCCCATATTT